GAGATGGTGGCGTTTACAGCACAGCAGCTTGCTTAGGATCGCATCTGAAATTCCTCCTTATTGATTTAAGCACGAATAACGCAAAATGTTAAGCTGTTCGGGAAACATAATGCGAGGCCTACAAGAGCTCCTGAGCGGAAGGGTAACTGAAAACGCACAAAACACGCAGCCGTTTGAAATACTTTTTCCAGTCGGCCCCATAGGCGCTTTTATATCTTCTAATCCTATGGTTTATACTTGGTTTTCGACATTCAATGTAAAGAACGTAATCACAGCCCGTCTAGGGTTTGACTTAGCTTTTGCTATGGTGGGTTCTGAAGCGAATAAGCTACGCAACTCCACAGAAAAATTACTAGGGGACAAGCATAAGTAGATATAATCGCTCGACTTTTAGATAGAAAACTTGGACTTCATACATTTGCTGATTGAACGACAGATATATGCAGTTTAAGATGAACCCAAGATAATATTTGTTAGAGTAGATCCATATGGTCTGCCTCAAAATACACATATTCACATTTGCGCGGTTAAAACTCCCACTTAAAATGATAAAAGGTAGCAGGCAACAGAAGCAGGCAAATGGCCGACAGCTGTCGACCCTCGACATTTAACCAGAGTAGAAAATAAGGCACCGCTAACTTAGAACTGCTGATATTTTAAAGTAGAACTTTCAGCAAAAGTCTTATGCAAGTGCCACGCTTCCTAAAAAAGGTCCTTCCGCGGTCAACTAAAGAAATCAGCAGTAAGAAAAGATGTACCAGATAAAGGCTGTTCACTGCTGGAAGAGATTAGCAACTTTAACGCAGTAAGACAGGGGAAGAAACAGCCATTCAACCTGAGGAGTCCCTTCAGGTGGAAAGCAAGCAGTCTATAAGGAATGCTTGTTGGCTATTATCCTTTAATTGGGAATAAAGAGTAAAAGTGAAGTGTTCTACAATAAACGCAAAGTACTTTGTAGTCTGGCACCTTGTTTTATTCCACCATTAATCGGTGATTAAGTAAACGTCCTTGATAGAGGAGAAGGCCTAACTGAATAGTCAACGTGGCGGGCATCAAAAATATAAACAAATGACGTAACCTTCTGCAAGTTTTTGTTTCCAATAGAAGAAGAAATTTGTCATCAGTTTATTTCAATTTTAATACATCAGCGTGAATTCTGCCTTATTTTGACCTACTGATAATGGGCCTTTTAAGACAGGTACAAGGGTAGCTCAGAAAGCCAATGTATTCCGACAAAAAAGTGGCAAAGCTTTCAACGACTGATTATTCTGACTACGACAGGATGCATTTGTTACCAGTCCAGCGTCCAGGAATGCTTGTTCTTATCTCAGTGTTTTACCGGCAGAGCTCGGACAGGGCTTTATGGCAAGGGCGTGAATCAAAGGTACCTTGAACGCTGCCAATTGTCTACAGCAGTGGGCAACTTAGATCTCTGATGTGCCTTCATTTGGGTTTATTCAGTAGAAAACTCCAACTTAAAATATGCGCGTATATAAAAATACTTGTGGCCAACCTTAAACTCCATTTCCACTCTGCTTAATTCAAGTAGGACCACAGGTAAATAAGGAGGCAATGTTTAAAAAAAATAAAGTCATTCATTTTTAAACCTATGACATTTGAACCTTAAGTGCGGCGCTAATGCTTGTCGGCGTTCTCTCATTTCAAAAGATTCAGTACATTTAGGTATTCGA